CACGGTTTAAATATTGAAGCCCACTGTTTAAAAATGGGTACAGGTATTTTAAAACACTTTAAATCGACCTGTACGTATATCAGTCATATCTGTGAATAATTATGCTTGGGAATATATGCATAATAGACAAAAACTACGGGCCAGCAACGCGGACCGGGCCAGCTAGTATTCTATAAAAGACAAAATATTGAGAGTTAAGTAAATATTGAAATTATTGTTTCTGTTTTGGAATAATTATAGGGAGCCTTATACGAAATTTCAGGATATTACCTTTAGGTAGTTCTTCTGGAGGTTGATTCCTACTCATACATTCGATGTATAGCCTTTGCAAGAATTGGGTCTGAGATTTAAAGGCGATTATAGATAGTTCCGTGTAAAATTTTTATTGGGGTATTAGGAAATATTTGTAATATTGAGCATAAGTTAACATACGTTTACAAAACACAAAATTATAATATTTTTTACTTAACAAAATCGAGAAAACCCGAAGAATTGTTTAATCATCGAAAAATAAAACCCTTTCTGAAAATATAGTTATAAGTTATTTCTTTGTTAAAGTTTCGTCCAAATTTTATGTTTACTCAAAATACCACCAAAATATTTCTTCAAAAACAAATGCTTCTTTGAAAATAGAAATTCTGCAAATACCACAAATTTATAAAACGTACTTTTATTTATTTCCCGCCCGTTTGAAAAGAAAACCACTTTTAGTTAAAATAGCCTTAAACCATTGCGCACAAACAAAAACACCTACACACACATTGAAGCTCTTCGATAAATGTTCTTGTCATTCAGCAAAAACAAAAACCTATTTGTCTTTCTGTCACTTGTGTAGTTGACTTCGGGCAAATTTAGTTACTCGTCTCAGTTGTGCGGAATGTGCAGCAACAGCGGAAGGAGCAACGCCAGCAGTTTAGCTATTGTTATGGCATTTATGGAACAGTATCGAATAACTGCATATGGATGCACACAACAAAAAAAAATTGCATAAAGTGTATACTGCTTGTTGTTGTTGCTGTTATTATATTTAGATTGTTGGTTATAACATTGAATACAACATCGCAACAACAGCTTCAGTTAAAGAGAAATTCAGATGCTTGCATCTACCACAAGATATTTTCAATGTTATTTAGTATTTTAAAAATATCCTGAAGGGGAGTACAAGTTGTTGGTGAAAATTTTACGATAATTGTCACTGCCAGGATTTAAAGGGAAGAAGTTAAACAGTATTAAAAGTATAAGGGTCGATTATTTAAATACATATATTTTGGCTTCTGTTATGATTATTCAAACTGTTGGCCCTCTATGAAGTAGATTCCGTATAGGACCTAAATTAATATGATATAAAAATCACGACGTACCAGGTTTGGACTACAACCCCTTTTGATTTTATATGCATTCAAAATTTTACATACGAACATTTGTTTATAAAAAAATTATTACAAATTCAAATATTTAAAAAACGTAATTAATCGTAATCGCTCGGTCTACCAACGCGTGTACATGCCAGGAACAGCTAACCGAGAAAAACAGGAACATGTCAAACTACGTCCGCACACACGAAGGGGTTTTCCTTCGGATATATTAATTTCTTGGCAAATGCCAAGCGTGGAGGAAACTGTAATCTTTTGAAGATTACATTGTAATTAGAGAATTCGAGGTAGCAACATACTTCCACGTAATAATCGTATCCTCAATTACATTGTTGTGTAGTTTCTTACTGTTAGCTGAATACCATTGCAAAGGCGTTATGGGTCAATGCTTCTTAATAAAATCATACCCCAATCTGAACCGATTTCAATATAATATGACTAAATTTACCGCCCGTTTGAAAAGAAAACCACTTTTAGTTAAAATAGCCTTAAACCATTGCGCACAAACAAAAACACCTACACACACATTGAAGCTCTTCGATAAATGTTCTTGTCATTCAGCAAAAACAAAAACCTATTTGTCTTTCTGTCACTTGTGTAGTTGACTTCGGGCAAATTTAGTTACTCGTCTCAGTTGTGCGGAATGTGCAGCAACAGCGGAAGGAGCAACGCCAGCAGTTTAGCTATTGTTATGGCATTTATGGAACAGTATCGAATAACTGCATATGGATGCACACAACAAAAATACTGCTTGTTGTTGTTGCTGTTATTATATTTAGATTGTTGGTTATAACATTGAATACAACATCGCAACAACAGCTTCAGTTAAAGAGAAATTCAGATGCTTGCATCTACCACAAGATATTTTCAATGTTATTTAGTATTTTAAAAATATCCTGAAGGGGAGTACAAGTTGTTGGTGAAAATTTTACGATAATTGTCACTGCCAGGATTTAAAGGGAAGAAGTTAAACAGTATTAAAAGTATAAGGGTCGATTATTTAAATACATATATTTTGGCTTCTGTTATGATTATTCAAACTGTTGGCCCTCTATGAAGTAGATTCCGTATAGGACCTAAATTAATATGATATAAAAATCACGACGTACCAGGTTTGGACTACAACCCCTTTTGATTTTATATGCATTCAAAATTTTACATACGAACATTTGTTTATAAAAAAATTATTACAAATTCAAATATTTAAAAAACGTAATTAATCGTAATCGCTCGGTCTACCAACGCGTGTACATGCCAGGAAGAGCTAACCGAGAAAAACAGGAACATGTCAAACTACATCCGCACACACGAAGGGGTTTTCCTTCGGATATATTAATTTCTTGGCAAATGCCAAGCGTGGAGGAAACTGTAATCTTTTGAAGATTACATTGTAATTAGAGAATTCGAGGTAGCAACATACTTCCACGTAATAATCGTATCCTCAATTACATTGTTGTGTAGTTTCTTACTGTTAGCTGAATACCATTGCAAAGGCGTTATGGGTCAATGCTTCTTAATAAAATCATACCCCAATCTGAACCGATTTCAATATAATATGACTAAATTTACTTTTACGCCAAATTCCGTCACACCTTTCGTATTTCACTGAAATTGGACGTACCTTGTTTGATGTGCATCAAATGGTGCATCAAATATGTGAAATCTGCCGAAAATATATATGGGAGCTGTATCCAAATCTGAACCGATTTGAATATGATTTGACAAATTTATTTTTGTACCAAATTTTAGTCATTCATGCCGAATTTCATTGGAATCGAACATAAACATCGTATTCGGTGTATCAAATAAACGAAATCGGTAGAAAATATAAATGGGAGCTATATCCAAATCTGAACCGATTTCTAAATAATTTGACAAATTTATTTTCTGATCAAGTTTCGTCTTTCTGTTCGAATTGCAATATGTAAAATCGGCTGAAAATATATATGGCAGCTATAGCCAAATCTGAACCTATTTCAATATAATTTGTCATATTTTTTATACGAATTCCATCACACATTCCAAATTGAAGTGTGGTGTACACATCCTATTTAATCCATCAACTATATGAAATCTGCAGAAAATTTTTATGGGAGCTATATCCAAATCTGATCCGATTTCAATATATTTAGGCAAATTTATTTTTGTTCCAACTTCCGTTACGCCAGTAGACCAATAGATATGTGCATATAAAATCTAAATGTTTGGAATGTATCTCTGATTCTGATGCTATAACTCCAGTTTCAAGTGGGATTTCGAAAATTTATATAGCCTATGTTATTTCGACCTTTTGTCGAGGAGGTACCGGATGGAATGTACAGATATTGTCCATCTCCGAACTCGATCAAAATTCGATAATAATATTACGATGTACCAACTTTGGAACAAATAGGATACTCCCTTCGAGAGTTATCGTGCGCACCAGCCAGTTAGACAGACAGACGGTCGGACGGACACCTCTAGATGACCTGATATATACACTCTCTAGCCATATGGCTGATGGTATAAAAAAACATATACACATATTTATCTTACACAAAGTGGAACGAGTAGTCGTATACATTACATGTAATAACAGACTGAGGGTGTTTGTTAGCAAACATAACATTTTAACTTGATTTTTTCCTTATTGGCTTTAACTATCTGGCTTTTAAACCTCACAAGTAAAATGCTATCACTCAATTGATATTTAGGCCTAAGTTTATCTGTATTTGTCATTTCGTCATTATTTTCCACCTGCCACCTACTACGCATGTTCCACCTGCCAATATGCATTTCACAATCTGTATACCGAATTTCTTACAAGTTACTGAAAATTGTGTTAATTTTTTTGACTGGTATTGTTGACAATAGTATACGAACTATCCCTGGAAATTTTCAGACATACATGTCGGAACATGACCTATATAAGGTCGGCCAGTAAATCCATCTGACAAATAAGTTTGTTGTCAAAAATATGGTTGTGATTTGAAATTCAAGGAGAGTCAAATCGCAATGGTGTAAAAATTACTACGTTTATTGCCAAATTGTTGTCAACAGTAGTCTTCTTGACAGACTTTATATTATTTTCTGATCTTTGAAATTATGAATTCCTAAGGTGAGAATACATAGAACGATTTTTTTTTTCTAGCAAAATCCATTGGCTGGCTTTTTGGTAAATTAAGCTTTAGGTTGATTTAATTTAATATCAACCCATAATTTTAAATATGTCGATCTAAAGCCTTTCATATTTTAAGAAAAAAGCCAGCCGTCGGCATCTTCCAGGAGAAAATCTTCTTATGTTTTCTTCCCTTAATCATGAAATCAACAACTTGTTAATTAAAAACAATAATATAACTAATTTATTGGCCACAAACGTCTATCTTGCTTCAGTAATTGCTCTTCAATTCTCTTGAAAAATCCTAATTAAATACTTTTGGGAATGTTTTCGACTAGCTGAAAAAAAAAGTTTAAGAAAATCAAGTAGCTTTGTTTTTTCATTTCATTCTTGAATTTAATTTGAAATAAATAAAAAATACATATTTCAATAGAATTGAATAATTTATTAACGTAAATATCAATTGTGTTTTAAATACATTTAATTCATTGGGTTTTAAATATATTTTGTCTGCCCTCTTTTTGTTGCAGTTTGCCGAGATCATTTATCTTACTTAACTATTGTCTGGCGTCTATCCGCATAATAACCTTTATAGCTGTAATTGAAGGAGATTCCCATCTAAATCGAATCAAATATTCAGCACGTCATCATCATCATTACCAACAACAAGAACAATGCTGACCACACATCATTTACCACATCTGCACCATCGCGGCAGTACGGCAGTTGAATTGGATAAAATCACAAATTTAAATACGGTAAGTGAATGTTAAATTATATTTGTATATCTCTGTATACTATTGATGACACAATCAATGATGGTGACGGCAATTGGTGGTCGTCGCAGATAAAGAACCATGGGGAGAAGTTTTCCGCAGGAAACAAGATTTTTCAATTTGACAAAAAAACAGACTGCTACGAAAACGAAGAGAAAAATCAATCATGGTCACGTAATAAATGTTTAACGTGACACAAGAACTTCCATTTCGGAAGATGAATAACAAACCAATGACATGATAAAGGCATTTTGAGAGGGCTATGTACATATTTTTTTATCAATAATCTTTTCAATCTTTGCTTCGTTTTTCTGCTTTTGAATAATTGGAATATTCTTAAATTGTGAAGAAAATTGTGACAACAAGAATTGGGGAAATTAAAGATTTTTGGTAAACATATACATACATATATAATTTTATTGCTTTGGTATTTTTAGCTGCTCTTTATGGTCATTGTGTTTTCCTATTGAAATACTATTACTTAGAAAAACTCATTAATTTTATTTTACTTTTCGTAATCCTACAAATGATGGAAGAAAAACGAAAAGAAAATCAACAAACGTCGTTGATTTCCAGTGGAAAATTTATTTTATTTGCTTTTAATTTAGTTCCTTAATGAAGAGCATCCGGAATCAAAAGCAAACAGCAATGCCATAAAACCGCAAAGAAACGTTTGTTTTAAATTAAAAGAAAAATCTATACTGATTTTATGTACATACACAAAAATGATATCATTAAACCATATGGATTTACCAAGCCATACGAAAATATGGGTCCGTATTCAGAAAATTTTGGAGAGATTTTTTTTTATTTTAAACAAAAGCAAGTTCCCACTACTTTGTCAGCTAGAAGTCCAACATGAAATGTTAGATTCGCTCCAACAGTTCGAGTTTGGCCTTTTTGACCTTTCACTTTGACAAGATTTTTTAATCAAAACTTCTAACAATATCAACTCAATCCCTTTACCCAATACCAAATTAAGTAATATTTTGTAGGCATATCCCAAAAATCTATTCTCTTCATCCTAGATATCAAGAGAGATCCGAAGTAGGTACCATTTAGTACTTTTCGAATAATTATAGAACGCATTTGCAAAACAACCACCTGATCCCAACACTGGATCCCAACAGAGACCTGGGGCTGAAAATATGAAATGAAAAATATTTCCTTTATAAAATTGTTCATATGGCATTTCTTTCCTTTATAAAAATTTTCATTTCACATTTTCATAGAACAAGGCCAGGGCAGAACAAGAATCCAGCCCCTGGGCCTCAATTCTTTTTCTATGAAAATGTGAAATAAAAACTTTTATAAAGGAAAGAAATGTCAAATGAAAAATTTTATAAAAGAAATATTTTTGATTTTCGTAGAACAAGAATCCAGTCCCAGAATATTGAATTTCGCGATTATTATATATATATTCATTCAATACCAAATTTAGTAACATCACGCAATTTTCGTATAAATTCCGTACACATTTACAAAACAATCTCCGTATCTCAATTCGAGATACCAACAGATATCTCAAAATCAAATATAAGGATTTCACTGAATACCAAATTTAGTACCATTTAGTACTTTTCGTACAAATAAAGGGTGCATTTCCAAACCATTGCCAACCATCAAACAAAGATACCATCAGTAATCTTATTATCAAATTTCAGAATTGTATTTCTATCCATTCGATCAAGGACGAATTTAGTACCAATCGATACTTTTCGAACAATAATAGTACACATTTCCAAAATCACCTTTCTATCAGCTCTATTCCTTCACCCAATAAATTTTCGTACAACTATAAAATTGTTTTCAAAAACTGCCTCCAAATACCAACAGCGACCTCAAAATCAAATTTGAGGATTTCAGCCCTTTCATCTCACCCAATACGGAATGTAGTACCGCTTAGTACATTTCGTAAATTATTCTACACATTTCCAAAATCACCTCCATATCTCAACTCTAGATTACAACGAAGACCGCAATACAAATTGAGGAATCCAGCCCTATTCTTTACACCCAATACCAAATTTAGTACCATTTAGTGCTTTTCGTACAAATATAGGACGAATTTCCAAACCACCGCCAAATATCAAACAAAGATATCATCAGTGATCATAATATCAAATTTGAGAATTTTATTTCTACCCTTTCACGCAAAAACGAATTTAGTACCAATCGATATTTTTAGAACAATTATAGAACATCTTTCAAACACCATCTAAATATCTCAATTCCAGATACTAACAGAGACCTCAATATCCAATTTGAAGATTCCAGTCTTATCCCTTCACCCAATACCAAATAGTGTACTTTTCGTACAAATATGGTACGCATATCCAAAACAGCCTTACCTCAACGATAGCCACCAACAGTGGCATTCATATTAAATTTCAGCTCCACCTCTACTCCTACACCCAACACCAGTACTTAATACTTTCCGTACATCTATACCTAATTTTAGGATTTCAGCTTTATTCCTTTACCCAATACCAAATTTAGTACTATTCATACAATATAGTTCATCCTTCCAAAACCACCTTCATATTTTAACCACAGACACCAACAGTGACATCTATCTCCAATTTTAGGATTTCAGATCTTATTCTTTTATCCAATATTTCCAAAATGTAGTATTATTTAGTACTTTTCGTACATGTATAGTTTAAATTTCCGAAATCCCTCCATATCTCAATTCAAGATACCAACAGAGACTTCAATATCAAATTTTAAAATTTCATCACTTCACGCAATACCAAATTTTGAACATCATAGTACTTTTTCTACAAATATTGGATACATTTCCAAGCAACCGCCAAATCTCAAATTTCAGAATATATCAAATTTCAGAGTTTTATCTCTATTCCATCACCCAATACCAAATATAGTACAATTCAATACTTTTCGAACAATTTTAGAACACATTTCCAAAACCACCACAACCACATTTCCATATATTCTCAAATCCACACATCAACAGAGACCTCAACATCAAATTTGAGGAATTTAGCTTTATCAATTCTTCCAATACCAAATTTAGTACCATTTAGTACTTTTCGTACAAATGTCGAAGGCATTTCCTAAGCACCGCTAAGTCTCAAACAAAGAGTAATCTTAATTTCAAATTTCAGTATTTTTTTCTATCAAACAAATATAACAAATATAGTACAATTTATTACTTTTCACACAATTATAGTACTTCCAACACTTTCAATGCCAAATTTCAGATTTCATGCACATATAGTACTATTAATTACTTTTCGTGCACTTGTTGTACACATTTCCAAAGCCACCTCTTTATCGCAAACCTACCACCAACAGGTTCCGCAATACAAATTTGGGTTATCACCCAATACCAAATTTAGTACCACTTGATACTTTTCCTACAAACACTGGATACATTTTAAAACAACCATCACATCTTAAACACAGCGCCACCAGCAATCTAACTATTAAATTTTAGAATTTTATTGCTATCCCTTCACCCAATACCAAATTAGGTTCCACCTCCATATCTTAACCACGAACACCAACAGTGACATGCAATCCCAAAAAAGACACCAATACTGATCCAAATTTAGTACCATTTAGCACTTTCCTTACAATCATAGAATACATTTCCAAAATTACCATCATAGGTCAGGGCTACACATGAACACCGACCCTAACACCAAAATTCAGTTATAAAGCACTATCTGTTCACCCCAAATACCTAATTGTACAAAATATAGTACTACTTAGTAATTTTCGTTCAATTGTAGTACACATTTTCAAAACCAACTCTTTATCACGAACGTACCTCTAAAATGGACCCCAATACAGAACTTCAAAATTCCAGCTTCATCCAACGTTTCGTAACCCCCTCAGTTTCATAAACCTTTTGGTACATCAATTCTGCACTGGCCTCGACTCTCAGAACTTTGGCTTTTTCCGTTTGTCCAGTACAAAGTATTAAGTTTTTAGTACATTTTGCAACTTTTCGTACAAGGATCCTGAGACTCCACCTAATTGGTTACTGTTTATTTAAAGTTTAAAATTATGTTGTTGCAAAATCGTCAGGCAAAAGCCCATTATTGTTGTTTTTATAAAAACAACGTTAGGTTAGGTTAGGTTAAAGGACGCGCAGCTGCATTTAGCAACTGCTCCACTCGGAGACCTATAGGTCCATTGTGTTCATCCTAGGAAAGAGTTAGAGCGAAAGATAGAGAAAGTATAAGAATTGACAGTAGGAAATAGATAGTACGTAGTCTACGGCTGAGTTTGCCGTGTCGTCTTTAGCCACTTGAACCTTCTGGCTAATTGAAGGATCACTGCAGGGTCCGTGGTAGAAAAAGAGGACAAATCACGTGACACTAGTTCTCCCACTAGTTTATGTCTCACGTTAATGAGCGCTGGGCAGTGGCAGAGCAAGTGTTCGATTGTCTCAATTTCTTCTTCATCTTGACAGATCCTGCAGTAATCAATATCATCGCTGTCCCATTTTGAGGTCATAGCCCTCACCTTACAGTGACCTGTGATGATGCCCACCACAAGTTTTAAATCTGGTTTAGACAATGATCAGTGCCGCCTGACTATCGACATATATAGTCACCGGACTTCCGACCTCTATGTTCCTCGTGACTAGCAGGTCTATGGCCTTTTTGACCGCCAGGATTTCTGCCTGAAAAACGCTACAATTGTTTCTGAGCTTGTAGGATTCACGGATATTAAGGGTGTCACAGAAGACACCTGCTCCCGTACCGCATTCCATCTTTGAGCCGTCGGTATATACAGATATGCCGCGGAAAGGTGGGCTGTTTTGGGACCAGGCTTCTCTTTCAGGTATGTGTATATCAGGTGGGCAGAAGCTTAATCGTGGTGAAATATAATCACTTGCATAGGCTATCTCTCCCACAGTCCTTACACGCCTTAGAATCGTAGAGTGACCAAATGGTTGACTACGCCATTCACCTAGTTCCCTGAGCCGAAGAGCACACCTGAATGCCAGTTCCTCTACATGTATGGCCAGCGGGCTTAAACCCAGTAGAGTATCTAGCGCAGCTTGAGGCGTGCTCCTAAAGGCACCCGTTATTAGTAAGGATGCGGCTCTTTGGACTTTGTTAATGTTGCGTGAGTAAGTTGGCTTCTTTAGAGAATGCCACCATACTAGAGATCCATAGGTTAGAATGGGGCGAACGATTGACTCATACAACCATTTAATGATGTATGGTTTGAGGCCCCAGCTTTTACCTATGGAGTTCTTGCAAGAATAGAGTGCGATAAAACCTCTTTTGGCTCGTTCCTCAATATTCCTCTTCCAACTTAATTGTCGGTCAAGGATTGTACCAAGGTATTTGGCCTCTGGTGAGAGGTTTAGAGTGACTCCATCTAGTCTTGGTAGTGTAAATAACGGATATTTACGCTTCTTAGTGAAAAGTACGAGCTCTGTTTTTGCTGGGTTCACGCCTAGCCCGTTTTGACGTGCCCACCGTGATAGAGTGACTAGAGCTCCTTGCATTAGGTCCGAGATTGTTTGCGGGAATTTCCCGGCAATTAGTAGGACGACATCATCAGCGTATGCGACTACTTTCGTCACCGTTACCTCTAGATCTATAAGTATGTTGTTAATAACCAAAAGCCAGAGTAACGGTGATAGGACGCCCCCTTGTGGCGTGCCCCTAGTGACCGATTTCCTGACAGATGTTTCCCCAATGCTCGAGTTGATGATTCTGCTGCTAAGCATGTTATCAACCCAGTCTATGAGGAGTTGTGGCAAATTAAGTTTTGATAGTGACTCATGAATGGATTCCAACGTGACGTTGTTGAAAGCTCCCTCAATGTCGAGGAAGGCAGCCAATGTGAATAAGGAGCCATTCATGTTCTTCTCTATATACCCTACGACATCATGTTGCGCTGTCTCAACAGATTTGCCTTTCATATAGGCATGTTGAGCAGTGCTGATGGCGGTTTGGGGTATTAGAGATCTGATCTCTATGTCTATCAGCCTTTCCAAGGTTTTCAATAGGAAGGATGAGAGACTTATCGGTCTATAGTCCTTGGGAAGTGAGTGACTCGGTTTCCCCGCCTTGGGGATGTAAGTGACTGTGACTTCCCTCCATGATTCTGGGATGTAGGATAGACGCAGACAAGCTTTAAAAATCTCACTCAGTACTGGTGATATTACCGCTGAGACATTTTGGAGCATAGCAGGAATAACACCATCTGGTCCTGGAGATTTGAAAGGTTTGAATGTATCTATGGCCCACTTGATTTTGGGTAAACTTACTATTCTGTCAGCCAAGTCTTGGTCCCTAGTTGTATGATCATGATGTACTTGATCGGTTTGCCGATTGCTTGTCGCGTCAATACAGCCGGGGAAGTGCGTGTTGGCTAGCAGGTTAAGAGTCTCTAGTCCAGAGTCAGTCCATGTGCCGTCAGTCCGTTTTATACTTCCGATGGATTTAGGGTCCTTCGAAAGGACTTTACGAAATCTGGAGGCTTCGTTGACACTTTCAATCGACTCAGTAAAGCATACCCAAGATGAGCGCTTGGCCTTCTTGATCTCACTGTTGTACTTGTTGAAGGATGCTTTGTAGGCATCCCAGTCCGTACTATGTTTGGTCTTGTTGGCCCTATTGTACAGTCGTCTACTATCCCTCCTTAAATTGGCTAAATGTTTTGACCACCAAACAGGTTGACATTTCTTTCCCGGATGGGTTAGTGGACAGACTTTTTCATAACACCCAATTAAGGCACTAGTTATCGCATTTACGGAGTTGTCTATATCGAGGGTTGAGGTTAAGACCATGTTGTCGAAACGGTGAAGCCAGGGTATAGCCAGCTCCGTAAATTTGTCCCAATTTGCCTTTCTTGGGTTTCTATGAGGTTTTTGATGAATACCCTCCACCAGTATTTTGAAATTTATCTTTCGATGGTCTGAGAATGAACATTCGAGAGAAACTTTCCAATCTAGTATGAGAGATTCATCCATGTTAGTAAGGGTGAGATCAATGACCTCAGCCCTGTCTTTGACTAGAAATGTTGCATCGTTGCCCCTATTACATATTTTAAGGTTATATTTCAAAATAAAATCAAAAATCGACTCACCTCTGACGTTAGTATTCGTACTGCCCCATTGGAAGTGGTGTGCGTTGGCATCACAACCTATAATTATGTGCCCGTTGTTGACCAGATCGTCGAGCAGCTCCTCTACCTCGTGGCCGGGTGGGTCAGGTCGCTCATACGGTAGGTAGAGAGAAATGAAAAAGAGAACCCTCCCGGATTTGCATTCCATTCTCGCTACCGTGACGTCTCCTCCACTGTAGTTGCTAAGGAAGATAAGATTTAAACTCTTTTTGGCAACAATACACGTCCTTACCTTATCACCATTGGAGACCGCGTAAGTGACATACTGCCCACTCCCTAACCCAGTTACCCTATTATTGTATGTATAGGGTTCCTGGATTAGGGCTATGTCAACTTCAGATCTCGTGAGGGATAGGAGGAGTTCAGCAGCAGCTGCTTTGCAGTGATGCAGATTAATCTGCATGATATTGAGTAGCTGCTGCTTCCTTCCTCCTAATGCGTTAGCCGGAAGCGGATCCATCCGGCGCCGAAGTGCAATTTTCCCCCACGAGCTTGAAGATACTCCTGGCCATCCTTATCCATGGATACCTTGATGACCAGGCCCCCTCCCTCAGTGGTAGAACTGACAAGACGCCAGCTGTCTGTTTTGAGGTTGGGGTTTTGCTTGCCTAGTATTGTCAGGATGCGTGCCGGATCCACAGATGGTGGTGGCACCCATGCTGTCAATACTCTACGGCAGGGGATGTCCTTTAAGGATACAGCCGCCAGATCGCATCCTTGCCATAGGTCACGGAAGCCGGATACTGCGGTGACTAGGTAATCCTTAGATTCCTGGTTTTCGCAGCACATGACTTTCGCGCCTCTGTAAAGGGTGGCGCTGCCAAACTGCATCCTTCGTGGGTCACCCTCTCCCGTAAAGACAAGCTCCCTCAGTCGATCTTCGAATAGCAGCCATCGACTATCGCTGATTTTACCTTCCGGTTCAGCCCTGTCGATGATTGCTACTCGTAGATTGTCCGGGTAGATCGTCTGGGAGTACTTCCTCTTTCGTCCTGCTTGGCCTGCCGTTTGTGACTTGACCTCTCCTTTGTGGGCCTTATCAGGCTTGGAGCTTGAAGGGCCTGTTGGGGGTGGTTTGGTCACAAGCGACTTGCTGACAGACGAAGTGGAAGTTGTAGGTAAAGGCCGAGAAGCCGGGGCCTTAGATACCTTCTTGGCCTCAGGGTGTGGTTCCTCCGTAGACCGGCCCCTCTTCAATGCCGAGCGCGAAGGGGTGTCGGCCTCCGTTGGAACTGTCGAGGCTGCAGCTATCACAGGCTCCGGCTTCTTGACCTTCCTGTCCCTGCATTTTGGGGTAGATGACCCAGCAGGTCCAGCATTAGGTGTCACCGCGTGGACAACAGCCGGAGTGGCCTTGCTGTCGGTGGTGGACTTGCTGACCTCTGCAGGGTTCTCAACAGTGGGTTGAACTATGGAAGAGTTTGCCCTACTGTTGATATTAGGTGGTGGGAGAGTTAGGAGTATCTGATTAAGAGAACAACTTGGTAAGTGCGGGTGGTTCTTCTCAAACTTAGCAATTACCTTGAGGTTCATCTTGATCAGAATCCTCTCTCTCTCCGTTATGTGCGCGGGGTCTCGGCCAATAAATTTTTTGCAATAATTTATTGACCTTTTATAACCCCGCCTTGCTTTCGCCTCCTTCGGTTCGACACCATCGTGAGAGGTAGGGTTACTGGTAGATTTCCTGCCAGTACCTACAAGGATGGTATCTTGCCGATCGAGGCTTTTAGCATCGGAGGTTACCGACGATGAACCCTCCTGGATTTGGGACTCCACGCAAGTCTCGTTAGGAGTGTTCTTAGCGGTCTTTTGTGATGACTCACCACTTTGAGACGAGGAAATGACCGTTATGTCAAGTTCCTCATCAGAGAGTGGTGAGTCGTTACTAAAGCCCGAAGGAACACTTTCCTGGCTGAGTCTTAACGTTTTTGTCTTTTCCAGGAGGGCAGACAACTGTTCATTTTGTTGCTGAATACTGTCGTGGATTACGTCACTGTAATTCAGTATTGAGTCGTCCCCTCCCGATTTGGTATTCATGTCCTGTGGCCGGTCCTTGGTCGTTGCTTCCTTGGAAGCAATGGTGTCGTTGGTGGTTGTTGGGGGTTTGTTTTGTTTGTTTATTGTTTTATCTTTCTCCATATAAAAAGTCGGACTTGGAGGAAACGAGGTCCACCATGGCATAGCCTCCCTACCATGGCAAGGACTTGGCAACTAAGCCTGTTACTCACTGAGGCGCCCAGGTATCAGTGAGGCAACCGTACGAATACAGTCGGAACCCTGACTGCAAACCTAGGAACACTGATGGGCACGGTTTACATAACACCCCAGCGTTAGGGGGTCTTATTTATCGGTAGACCAACACCGATCACTGGGTATTTTGAGGCGCCAGTTGTTCGCCTCGTCGTAACCAGGGATCATGGGCACTCGGATATTTGTTCCGAGACTCTCCCCCCGGAGACCGCTGAGTTGTCCGCGACTGCTTATTTATTCGCAGCTGCCCAATATATCTATTGGGCGTCCCACTATCCGCAACCTGTGGACGCGTCCGGTAGCATCCAGCTATGCTTCCGATGATCGGCTTCCGATGATCGGCCGGATTGTTTATGAGTGGAGAACGATGGTAATGTTTACCAGGGGGCAAGGCAGGGAATACCTAGGTTTCGGAAAGAGCCACCAATCCTCATCAGTTCCCTTGTTTCTTGTCTGGGATATTCTCCCCAGAAGTTATTTAAAAAAAAAACTTCTATGACAAAAAACATTTTTTTACCCAAGTGACGAGATCGTAAGCTCAATAGAAGAGGAACAAAAGAATTACATAAATCTAAAATTCTTTTGGAAAATCTTCTAAATCTTAAAATGTAAATGTTTATAAGTGCGGTTGTAAGATTTAGAAGATTTTCCAAAAGAATTTTAGTTTTATGTAATTCTCTTGTTTCTCTTCTATTGAGCTTACGATCTCGTCACTTGGGTAAAAAAAAATGTTTTTTGTCATAGAAGTTATTTTTTAAAATAACTTCTGGGGAGAATATCCCAGACAAGTAACAAGGGAACTGATGAGGATTGGTGGCTCTTTCCGAAACCTAGGTATTCCCTGCCTTGCCCCCTGGTAAACATTACCATCGTTCTCCACTCATAAACAAACGTTGTTTTTATAAAAACAACAATAATGGGATGGAAAATACTATGGTATCCCAAACAAGCAAGCCAAACACTGCACTATGGGTTTTTTTACGTTTATTTTGGCATAAACTATAATTTCAAAGCTATTGAATTGAAATTTGGTTTGTATGCATTTTTTATGCTTCCAAGATGACCTACCAATTTTCATATGATTTGGAGCACTATTTCATATAGCTGCTATATAGCCGATTTGGCCGATTTGACCCAACTTTTTTGTTTATGAAGCTATTGAAGTGAAATTTGGTTTGTATTCATTTTTTATGCCCCCAAGATGACCTACGAATTTTCATATGATTTGGGGAACTATTTCATATAGCTGCTATATAGCCGATTTGACCCAACTTTTTTGTTTATGAAGCTATTGAAGGGAAATTTGGTTTGTATTCATTTTTTTGTCCCCAAGATGACCTACGAATTTTCATATGATTTGGGGCACTATTTCATGTAGCTGCTATATAGCTGATCTGGCCGATCGGCTATGATGATTTGGAGAAACATACTGCTCATTCATTACAATAATTATACTTTTGCTATGCCATTTTGAATGTTTAGTTTTAAATCGCTCTAGTTTACGGATGCACTTTGGCAAATGCTTTTTTATATAATTAACAAAATCTTTCACTTGTTTTGATATCAAACGCATTTGGTCTTCATTTCAACTGATATTATTGATATTCTGTAACACATATTTCACAAGTGCATCTTCTGAGCGATTGTTGCTTCTCCAAATTTCAATAAGCGCTGCATGGACAAACACATGTTTATCTGCAAAACACGTGTTGGCACAAAATAGAACAAAAAAGGCTAGTTACTCATTAATTAACACACTTTTGTTAATAACTTGGCATTTATACCTTTTTGCAATGCTTTGCCATTCACAAGTTACACTCCACGGAACACAACTACAATTTATAGATTTTATATAAAGCTATACATAAACGAAACAATTCACAGTATTACAACAACAGACAATTATGACAAAAAGGGCACCTCGTCTTAATTTTACACACCTGCACTAATTTTTTCCATAATTACACATTTTATTTTTTTCAATTTTGTCAAATCAGAAGCACTTGAACTTAGCTGATCTTTACCGCCAGTTGTACCAAAACAAAGTGACTTTCAAACAGCTGACTTTAAAAGCTCGCCAGCAAAAAAGGGTTGCCACCCGTATTGATATTAAACATTTTTTTTTCTAATATGGGTACCTACATTTAGGAAATCAGTTAAATTTCAAAATATGAAACCAAAAAAAAAAAAATGACTTTATGCCAAAAAATCATGCTTTTTACCCATAGTGCACTGTTTAAAATTATATTAAAACAAGTAAAAACCAGTAAGGAAAGCTCAAAAGTCGGGCGGGGCCGACTATATGATACCCTACACCACTATGCATATTTAGTAGAGCTCTCGTAAAAAGGTTTACACAGTGCATTTCAGAGCTCTATGAGATATTTGGTACAAAATCAAAATCTATCTAATTCTATCTAATTCTATAGCTATCTCTGAACCGGGGTTCTCCAAATTTTACCTATTAGCTTCTAGACTGAATTCGGTCTTATGTACGAAAATTCTGGTGATTTGGGCTGATATTGACCATTTAGTGCACATTTAACCCTAAATCGGATGAAGATATATATGGGAGCTATATTCAAATCTGAACCGATTTCGATAAAATTTAAAACAGCTATTCCTGTGCTCCATCTAATACCTGGTACCAAATATCACGGTTGTGGAGTGAATATTACGAATGTATGGGACTAAAACACTAAATCGGATGAAACATATATATGGTTGCTATATCTATATCTGAACCGATTTTCACTAAATTTGATATACTTGCTTTTAGGCTGAATTTGGTCCGATGTACTAAAATTCAGTCCATTTGGACTTATATCGGCCATTTGGTGCCCAATTAACCCGAAATCGGATGAAGATATATATGGGAGCTATATCCAAATCTGAACCGATTTCGATAAAATTACAAACAGCTATTTCTGGGCTGTATCTTATATCTGGTACCAAATATCATTCTTGTGGAGTGCATATTACGAATGTGAGAGGCTAAACACCAAATCGGATAAAACATATATATGGGAGCTATAGCTGTTCCTGAACCGATTTTCTCCAAATTTGTTGTATTTGCTTTAAGGCTAATCTCGGTCACATGTGCCAAAATTCGGGCCATTTGGGCTGATATTGGCCATTTGGTGCACATTTAACCCGAAATCGGATGAAGATATATATGGGAGCTATATCTAAATTTGATCCGATTCTCACCAATTTCAATAGGGTTCGTCCTTGGGCCAAAAAAATATTGTTTGGAAAATTTCATCTCAATCGGATAATAAATGCGACCTGCATTTTGTTCACAAGAATACATGGACAGACGGACGGACGGACGGACAGACGGACGGACATGCATAAATCGACTCAGAAAGTGATTCTATGAAGGTTCTCAAAAGTAACTATGGGTCTAACTCGTTTCCTTCTCCATGTTACAAACAACTGCACAAAGACATAATACCCTTACCACTATGTGGTGTAGGGTATAAACATTAAGTTTGGACGGGCCAAACTTTTAATACCATCCACCTTAGCGTAAAGGAAACTTTAGAGCCCATTATGACCCACATATACCAACTTTTAGAAAAATTCATGGGAAAATGTGCCAAAAATCATCAAAATACCGAATATCGGGAAAACGGCTATATGGGGCTATACCAAAACGTGGACCTATACATACAGTGTTTCGCCAAAGGAGCTAGAACCCATTATGACCTGCAACTACCAATTTTCAGGGAAACTCGTGAAAAAGGGGTCAAAAATCATCAATATACCAGATATCGGGAGGTACCGTTATATGGGATCTATACCAAAACGTGGACCTATACATACAATGTTTCGCCACACGAACTAGGGCCCATTATGACCTACAAATACCATTTTTTAGACAAATCTGTGAAAAAATGTCCAAAAACCATCAAAATACCGAATATCGGGAGGTACC